CCATGCATATAATTAAACAATAAAAACCTGTTCTTGTTATACATATGTATATGTATAAAAATCCCAACCAAACAGAGCATACAAAACAATTTAAAGATCTCTTATTTTAATGCTGTGGAAAAAGCACTTGCTTTGTTTATACTCTGAGTACACTTGCATAGTTGTATTGTGGATACGTCTAAACATGCGTGTAGTGTTCCAGTTTGATATTTAAATGATAACAAATTAGAAATGAAAGAGTTTTGACTTTGTATTTTGTAACTGGATAATAAAAGTGATTTAGATGGAGTAAGCAGCAAAGAGGCTAATTACCTGAAAACCTCTGTGGCTACAGATTCTTAGGAATGTGTTAGGTACTCTCTTGACATCTTATCTGTAACAGAGAGAGGAGAATATTTTTTGTGTAATAAATAATAAAAGCTAGCATTTAATGGCCACATAAACCAGGTTATTAAAAACTGCCTTTTTATCAGGAAGACAGTTGTCTCATTATGGGAGGGGATGGACACATTGTGGTATACTAAATTTCTGCTCAGAAGGGCAGAGCTGTCCTGGTTGTAAGAAACATAAGCTGGCAGACCTGCATGTATTATAAAATGTATGTGCAATACCTTATTGCATATGTATTTCGTCAGTTCTGTTGATCTGCTGACAGGGGCCTAGGGAAGAGATAACTTTTGTATATTTGCAAATATCAAACTACAAAGAAAACTTGAGACCATCTCATCTGGTGCCTCTTAGCTTTGTCCTGATGCAAACAGCGATACTACCTACATTTAATTTATACTTTTGACTACTTGTGAATTTTTAGTTAGTCTGTTTGACAAGGGATCAGATTGCATAAATTTCAGTGGTGTAGAGTTATAGAGCTGAGAGTGTTTGGGCATGTAAACGTGCTTGTCCACCGTGGTGGATGTTTCTGCCATAGGCAGTGTGCTATTTTAGAAACATCAAAGGCCTGATGTTTTGTTAAGGTTCCAGTCTGTGTGTTCAGACAGCTAATCGAAATCAGAAAGATTTTTGCTTACCTCTTTAACTTCAGGACCTACAAACTTGTTTTAAAGTGAGTATGCTAACATATATTTAGAGGTTTTGACCACATATGTTGTAACTTGAATGAAACAAGTGAAAAGGGAGAAGCTGAATAATGTGTTTTTTCTTATTTGAATGTTTTTTTCAGAAAAAATAAAAATTTTTTCATGATGTTTTATTTACATTACTGATTTTTTTTTTTTTTTACATCTTTTGGGAAATGTAATTTAGTGTTCAATTCTTAAATTTAAGAGTTGTGCAGAAAAAGCAAGTCTCAGAGATGTATATACAGTTTGAAGAAATTATATTTAAAAGCCAAACCAAAACAAACAGCTGTTTGCAAAACAGCATTTGTAAAGGGAGTGACCAGTTCTCTGCAACTCAGAGGAGTTTGGCTGCTAAGTTCCAAAAAGAAATAATACACTTAATTTGTCCCTTCTGGACATGACCATGATGTTCCATGTGTTTATGGCTTCCATATTTGAACGTTGCAAAACACTGCAAACAGTAATCAAAATGCAAAATATTGAGGAAGGGCTAGGTAACTGGAAGTGTAACAGCTAGTCTGGCATGAACCTTGGAGAGCATGTCTTTTCAGTACCCTTTTTATTCACCCAGTCCCGCTTAATAGCACAGAATGTGGAATTCCCTGAGTAAATGATTTAGTATTTCAGACTGTGGTCTAGTTAAAACATGGGCTTTGGAAATGCATAGCTACTCTGAGCTTGTTGTAGGGAGGGCCAGAATAACGATGCGGACTTTATTTCTTAGCATGTTTATCTGTAAGATTGTGAATTACTATAATTGAGCAGAAATAATTTCTCTTTGTGCTTGATGGTCTTCTGTTAAGGAAGAGGTGAAAAACAATTTCTAACACAGGCAGCGCATTTGTTGAAATAGCTGAGACTAGAGAAGTAATGCTTCCTGTATGTTTTTTCTTAATCATATGCATCTGGGAAAGAAGGGTATGTTTAAGTAAGTTTTCATGGTACCCATATGAAGGAGGAAGAGTTGTTGGATCTTGTGCAACAGCCATCGGACACCTCTCTTCCATCTACACTTGCAATTGCTGACTCAGATCTTTCTTAATCACTTAACCACACACCTTGTTGACAGACTGGTAACTGAATTAATTCCATGCTGGCTGCAAAACCAGCACGATGTAAGAAGAGATTATGGTGAGCAACACCAAGTTTTCTGTTGTGTCTTTATTGACTTAAATTAAGGCATTGATGCTATTGGGCACTTTGGGCCCCTCAAAAATTACGGGCAGACTGCGCTGCCCTGATAATTCTCTCCCTCCTTTGTTGGTAACCTAAAGCCTATGTGATAGAAATTTGATCTGTTTCAGAGGAGTTTCTTGCTGCCACAGAAGTGCAGCAGAGCTATAGTCTGCTTCCTACCCTGGTATTTTGACAATGCTGACCTCAGCCTTCTCGGAGTGATAGGTTAGTGTAGATCTGCTGTAAGACTGGTGGCTGCTTTTTTGGATCTGTCTACCAAGACTGAATTCTGCTTCCCGCAAGTCATCATCCATACACACAGATGACTAGGATTACTGCGCGTTTAGTAGAGGATTTCCTTAATTGCCTTGTGATATCACCCTTAATCTTGCTGTAAGATGTCATGTTTCAGCTTGTCCCAGGCAGTTCTTTGAACCTACTTTCATTAGCTGTGATGATAGGAGGAATCAAACTGAGATGGCGAATTGAACAGACTAGGTGAAAATACGAAACCCTTACTTAATTTAATGATGATAAACTCACCTTAAGAGAGATGAATTTTCTGTTGAAGTTTAGGGTGGATGGGAACAGTGCAGTTTACTGATGATCAAATCTACTTGATTGACAATGCCAAAGCTTACCTTATCTGGTGTGGTAGGTTTTTTTGTTTTTTATTTTTGGTGATACTCTCTTTGTATGAGTAGCAGTTGATAATGTTTTCATATTTTCAAGACATCTGATGATGGTTGTGGATATATTGGGTTTTCAACTGTGATTGCTAGCTTTGCAGCCTGTTTTTTGTGGAATCCAACTTGATTCTCTCTAGTTGCTGTATGTGGTACTTTGGACTATTCTATCTAGGATGCTTGTGTGCGTTTCTAGATACAAATTCACAAGATAGTGGATCCTAAATATCTGATATCAAAATCTGGTGAGGCGGTTTCTGTTCTGGATCAGGGTGGAAGAGTCCAGGAACCCTCCGCAGGCTTTGGAAGTCCAACTTTTGCATGTGGCAAAGCAATGTGTGAAAGTCAATATAAAAGCTGAAGGTTAACATTAAACACTGCTAGGCTTCTGACCTTTGCAAGACCACTGTTCACTGACAAGTTACTGCCTTCCTGTCAGAAGACATTTAGATGGTGCACCTCTCACGCGGATTGGGCTGTTCTATCAAGTGATTGCTAGGGTAGTAAAAAAGGATAGCAGCAGCCCATTGTGGAATTGATGACCATTGAATATGATGAGTGACAGTATATAAGATGAAAAATGGCAAGTATCAGAATAAGTCTTTGTTTTAAAAATAGTTCTTAAGGCAATCACCCAGCTTCATATTTGGAATTAAGCTTTGCGTATTTTTGTGAAGGAGATTATTATCATTTACAGTCAACATGTTTTACCTTTCTCTTAATTGTCTGTCTTCTGTGATGACAGTACAGCTCTCTCTGAAATAAAAAGTAGCACATCAGCAGACCGAGGCAGTTGGTGCTCAGGCCCCTCCGTCTACCTAACACGCTGTCTGCATGGTCAACTTCAGACTAAACTTAGTCTGGCCTTTTGGACTAAAAATTCCTACCACACTTAGGATGCAAAGCTGTCTGAAGGACCACTGATTGATCTTGACCCATCTGTTCCCATTTAGCTGGTAGAATGCAATTGTTGAGCACATGAAGCAGAGCTGCTGGAAAGAAACTCTGATTTCCATTCCCTCTGAAAGGAATCTAGTTCACTTGGCCAGAACTGTGCTGTAACCTGTACCAACCCAAGGGAGAAGGGAGCGATTCACTCCAAAACCTCACGATGCTTTTCTGAACCAAAATGTTCCAGAGGCGGCTGTGACGCTGTAGAATAATCCCTCTGTAGCCCATGAATAAATAAATGTATAATAAATACAAACCCTTGGGTTTATTAAATTTAATGAAGCAAACCAGAATTCTGTCCCTGTCTGGCCCTTCTGTGAATGAGGAGATTAAAAATCATGTTAGGAATGCAGTACAAATCTGAAAGCTAGAATGTTGTGTTTGTCAGTAGGGCTGCTCTTGAAGCTTGATCTGTTCACTCTACTAAATGTTTTGATGGAAAAAAGATTTGTGTGAGAGTGGATGTTAGCCTCTTTGCACGTTACTCATATTTGCTTGTTTCTCTAGTTCTGGGAGTAGGGCTTGTAGGATTTTTGTCCTTGTAATATAAACAGAAATCCAAAAATATTGCAAAACAGTGTCTGGAAGTCTTTTTGTGGATTTTTGCCCCCCAGTGTCAGTTTAGAATATAATAGAAGTCATAAGAACTTTGCATACTTCAACGTGGCTGAAACTGGGGGTTAGCTTTTCAGCAGGGACGTTGCGTAGGTGTTGGATCAGACTGACCATGTCTGTGGAACGTGGCAGCTGTTGCAGTGCTTTGTTTCAAGTAAATTTTACGAGTGTTTAATGTTAAATATAATCAAGGTGTCTTTTGTATTTTAGGAAGCTGAATATGGTGGACACGATCAGATTGATTTATATGATGATGTAATTTCTCCATCTGCAAATAATGGAGATGCCCCAGAAGATCGTGATTACATGGATTCTCTCCCACCATCTGTTGGGGATGATGTAGGTAAAGGAGCTGCACCAAATGTTGTCTATACGTATACTGGAAAAAGAATTGCCTTGTACATTGGAAATCTTACTTGGGTAAGTATCTTATTACCGTTGAGGTGGTAGCCAGGAGTTTTAAAATTATGAACGTAGTTCTTTGTAAATATTTTGGCTTTAAATTTGTTTTATATGAAATATTAAGAGTACAGCAAAGCAAGTGGATTTTGGTTGGATTTTTTTTCTTTTACCTGAAATTTAGTAAGCCTGTCTGGAGCTGTCTTGATGTCCAAAAAATTGATGAAATCTTCAGTAAATATGAACTTTAAAGTTTTGTCTTGTGTTTTAAGTGTTATGAAGGGATATTTGTGCTACCACCTTATTAAGATTTTTCAGAGAACTGAATGAAAGAGGAGAACAAGCTTAAACTATCAAATTATGCCTGCAGATACTTTATGGCTACTGAATGAACCTATTTTTTTTAGTAGAATCATAGAATGGTTTAGGTTGGAAAAGACTTTTAAGACCATCAAGTCCAACTGTAAACCTAGCACTGCCAAGTCCACCACTAAACCATTTCCCAAAGCACCACATCTACAAGTCTTAAATACCTCCAGGGATGGTGACTCAACCACTTCCCTGGGCAGCCTGTTCCAGTGCTTGGCAACCCTTTCAGTGAAGAAATTTTTCCTAATATCCAATCTAAACCTCCCCTGGCACAACTTGAGGCCATTTCCTCTTGTCATATCACCTGTTCCTTGGGAAAAGAGACCAACCCCCACCTGGCTACAACCTCCTTTCAGGTAGTTGTAGAGAGCAATAAGGTCTCCCCTCAGCCTCCTTTTCTCCAGACCAAACAACCCCAGTTCCCTCAGCCACTCCTCATCAGACTTGTGCCCTAGACCCTTGACCAGCTTCGTTGCCCTTCTTTGGACACACTCCAGCACCTCAGTGTCCTTCTTGTAGTGAGGGGCCCAAAACTGAACAGAATACTTGAGGTGTGGCCTCACCAGTGCTGAGTACAGGGGGACGATCCTGTCACTGGTCCTGTTTCTGATACAAAACTATTTCTGATAGTAAACCCTTGCTGAAGTTTTTAGTTTAAAAAGGAACTGGAAGATTGTGTGGGATTTTCTTGTAATTACTTTTCACCTTTTTCCAAGGCCTTTTTCCACTTCCCTTTTTCCAGGGCAGTGACTCTTGCGATAAAATGGTTTTCAGGTATTTGCCTTGAGGTTTATTTCTGTAGTCCTGGGAGTAACGGGCTTGGGATAACTCACTGAACTGCAATTGCCCTCGAGACAGTTACTTTTGTTAGAATTAAAGCATTTTAAAGTCAACTGCAGTTAAGCAAACAAAGTGCAAGAGCTGGTCAGTAGCTGAATTAGCTGGAGTTCGTATCTCTTTACCTGAAATAAAGTTCTTCCAACCCCATGCATGAAAAGTTCTCATTCAAGGTTTTTTCCCCTGAATTTCTTACTAGTGCTAAACTTGGAAAAGAATGCTTTATGGGTGCTTAGGTGTTTTTTTCGTTACTTATCACAGTATCGTAATTTCAGGAGCTAATAGGTGTGTAAAGGCACATTGACTTAACAGTTCTATCATTCTAAAATATATGAATGGAGTCAGTAAAATGCACACGAATTAGCTGAACTCATTCAAGTCAAATGTCACAATTTCTAAAACAGGTGGCCCAATGTGCAGCAGTTTGTACCTATATTGCTCATTATTTGGCTTCACAAATGAAGTTATCCACAAAAAGTGCATTTATTTACTTTAGCATTGCTATTGTGTTTTTCTTTGTGTTTAGCTCTCAGGAAAGTAATTTGTTGAATTTATGAAAAAAACCTGGATTTTGGAGAGATCACATAAGTAGTTCAGAATCTTGAAAGCCTGCTTTGCACTTCCCATATGAAATTTAAAGAGGTGATGGAGTTACAGAAGTAGAAAGAAAACCATAAGTATTGGTATATTTGTGTATCTTCGGATATGAGTGAAATTGTTAAATGTTACTTAGTAATTAATAGGAAGTTACAGCAAGTAGGTTTGTTTACATGGAAGCAGTTGCTTCTAACCACAGTTTCTGTACTAGTTTCACTTTTTTGTCTGTAAATCCTGCTGGTTTTGTGCAAATAATAAACTCATTAGAGTTCTCATAAAGAGCACCTGGTTAATATGGCATTTAAAATTGACTTTTGTGTGGAAAGAATAGAATCAGTGGGAGAAAAAAGTGGATCGATTGTGGAAAAAGTAACAGCTACTGAAATAGTTCAGTTGAAGCCTTGCACTCTCAGAAAACAAAATTTACTCAAATACTTTTTTTTTTTTTGGCATACTGTAGCTGGTATACTGTGTGGAGGAGTTGATGCAATGTAGCATATGGGGAAGTGTGTGTATTTTTAAAATTAATTTTCTGAGAACTGTAAAATATAAATGATTGCTCTCCAAAAGTTAGAAAATATTGATAGTCTGAATAAGTATTCCTCTTGACCAATTTCACACACAAAAAAAAAGGGGGGGGGATCAGAAAGCTTAGTTGCCCTTTTCATGGTGTTTTAGATAAGCTTTCATATTTTAATATTAAAAATATTTTTCAGTGGACAACAGATGAAGACTTAACTGAAGCAGTTCATTCATTGGGGGTAAATGATATTTTGGAGATAAAATTTTTTGAAAATCGCGCTAATGGCCAGTCTAAAGGGTAAGAATTTGTTATTTGTTTTTTCTGTAAATGGACTGAAGTTTGGGAGGGTAGAAATGGGGAAAAAGTTTTCAATTTTCATAACTGTCAGTATGTGAACTGATAACCTTTGTTTATCGATATCCAACAATGATTTGGTATATAATTTCATACTAATGACTTAAATTTCAGGCATAAATTTTTATGACGGTATTGTGTGTCTCATTATATTGTGAGTTAAATCTTGTTGGCAATCTTCATTAAGACTCTATTCCTAGATTTCAGTTAGTGTGATGGTGATATTTGTTGTTCCTCATAGCTAAGTACTGTTCCCCCAACCTCCATTATTAAATCTTTCTTTACATGCTTTATTTTCTATTAACTGTTGAAAGTGAGCACTTGAGCCAGGTTTTCACTGGGAACCTAATCTTCCTTGCATGAATGTGCCTTTCTTTCTCCTTAGTAGTAATGAGAACACACTAGGTGCTTAATAATAACTTGATCATATGAATTCATGTATAGTGTATTGATACTCTGCCAAAAAGCTGCCTTTGTTGTGATATTTTTTGATGCATCTTGTACTTGCACTTGTGGTGGTTCTTAGATGTCCTAGAATGAGTTATTGTATCTGTTCTGAAAACTGGACTAAGACCTGTGAGACAGTTTCTGTATTTAGTTTTCAAATATTCTTTTGCTTTTCTTTTCTATAACCTTTTTCATGAGGCATCAGGATATCCAGGAAATGGAAAAAACTGTGATGTAACTTTTTTTTCTCTCTTTTTCTCTCTTTTTCTCTCTTTTTCTCTCTTTTTCTCTCTTTTTCTCTCTTTTTCTCTCTTTTTCTCTCTTTTTCTCTCTTTTTCTCTCTTTTTCTCTCTTTTTCTCTCTTTTTCTCTCTTTTTCTCTCTTTTTCTCTCTTTTTCTCTCTTTTTCTCTCTTTTTCTCTCTTTTTCTCTCTTTTTCTCTCTTTTTCTCTCTTTTTCTCTCTTTTTCTCTCTTTTTCTCTCTTTTTCTCTCTTTTTCTCTCTTTTTCTCTCTTTTTCTCTCTTTTTCTCTCTTTTTCTCTCTCTCTCTCTCTTTCTCTCTCTCTCTCTCTCTCTCTCTTTCAGGTTTGCCCTTGTGGGTGTGGGATCAGAAGCATCCTCCAAAAAGTTGATGGATTTATTGCCTAAAAGAGAATTGCATGGGCAGAATCCTGTTGTGACTCCATGTAATAAACAATTTCTGAGTCAGTTTGAAATGCAGTCAAGGAAAAGTAAGCCTTTCTCATGTACTGTCTTAGAGAAATAGAAGTTTATTCCAAAAGCAGTACTGCAGCTTTTCTCTCAGCATCTGATAATTTCTACATGGTTTAAAATAGCTATAAAGTACTTCCAGTAAGTTGCAGCTTTGGTTAAAGGTGTTCCTCTTAAAAATAAAAGTAGAAATTAAAAAAAAAAAAAAATCACTTAATATACTGAAGATCTGTTGTTTTGGCAAGAGAGCACTTACTGAAAGAAGGTTGCAGCTTTGTGAAACTTGTCTTAGAGTTGGAGAAGCTTTCTCATTTTCTTGTGGATTTAATTTATTGGGTTTTTGTAAAGCACAACAGCATTTGGAAATTTAACATTTGTAGACAAATTGGACTAAATTCTGATGTCTGGATAAGTTGTGCTTATGATAAAACGGGGAAGAAAGATTCTGTCTTGTGCTTTCCTCCAGCACCTTGTCTTCTGATTCCCAGTCCTAATGTGTAAATGTATTCTTTGTGGCCTTGGGCTGCATTAAAGGAAGGATTGACAGTCTCCCTGGATGCTATTCCATTAGTATGGGCATGCTGGAACACCACCATATTTTAGCAAAGCACTTTTTCCTTCCCAAATAGCTTTGGGTTTGGGTACCGAGGAACAGGTTGGTGCTCCTAAGGTCATGCTTTAGTGCTGCGTAAAACTTTAGATCAAGAGTTGAAAAGCTTTGACTTACTTTGATTTATGTAATTATACTTTTGCTTTTCCATTGCAGCCACACAGTCTGGCCAGATGTCTGGGGAAGGTAAAGCTGGTCCCCCAGGAGGAAGCTCACGAGCAGCATTTCCACCTAGTAATAGAGGGCGAGGACGTTTTCCAGGTGCCATTCCAGGTGGAGACAGATTCCCTGGACCGGCAGGACCAGGAGGGCCACCACCACCTTTCCCAGGTAAAATAGTTCAGTTTCATTTGTTTTCTTGTATTAGTGTGGCATACTTATTGTGGGGAATTGTAAAGATAAGGCAATTGAGTAATGTGCTATAATCAGTGTTCACAGCTGGATTGTAGAATTTGACAATATTTCTTTGTTGATATTCAAACAGGGAGTTGTATGTCCTAAATTTCATAGCAATATAATAACATTTTTAGAGACATTCTTTATAATGCATCAATGTATATATTTTTAAAGTATGAAAAAATTAAGATAGATCATGTTAGCAAGTAGACATCTTTAGTGCAGTGTAGTTCAGATTTTCTAGTTTGCTACGTGGGATGAGAATGCCTTTGTTGCAGAGCATAAAGTAACTGTTCCTTATTGCATTACAATTTTGCACATCATCAGAGATTCAGGTTTGATTCATGCCCGCTAACAGGTCAGTTAGTTGCCAGTTAGAATACCACAAATTTGAAGAGCAGGTGTTCATGTTTATTCAGGTATCTGATAGGGGAGAAATCTCTGTTAAACAATCAGACTTGCATTGCAGTGAAGTTATCATTTCAGCTTAAGTATTTTTAATAAATGTCACTCGCTATTAGATTGTTCACTAACAGTCAAAGGGTCATGGTCAAATGGAAAAACCACTAGTGAGGACCTTAAAGTAGATTTGGATACTGCGTTTACCTTACCTTCTCCAAAATAGCTTTTCCCATATTTCTAGTATCTTATGCCCCACATGAAAGACTAGCTGCAGGTGTAAGTAGGATGCAATGTTTTCTAGTTTTTGTAAGCTTTTGGGGGGGTTTGGTAACAATAACAGGTGATTAAGTGATTTGGGGTGGAGGGTGGGTTGTCAATTTTTGAGTTGTTGTTCTCTTTAGATATGGATAGTCAAGGAACTGTTTAAATTTTCTAAGCTATTAGACCCAAAGTGGGACCTTGCATGTCTTGTGTAAGTTGCAACTTGTTCTGTGAAGGTTGTTTTGGGGTTTTTTTTGTTGTGTTTTGGATGGATTTTTTTGGTATGGGGTTTTTTTTAAAGATAAGAATTTTAATTATTTTGCTAAGTCTTTTATTTCTTTATATTTATTAACTCAGTTTTATTTATTTATTTATTTTTATTTTAGCTGGACAAACTCCCCCACGTCCACCTTTAGGTCCTCCTGGCCCACCAGGCCCACCAGGCCCTCCACCTCCTGGTCAGGTCCTCCCACCTCCATTAGCTGGACCTCCTAATCGTGGTGACCGTCCACCACCACCAGTTCTGTTTCCAGGACAACCTTTTGGTCAGCCTCCACTTGGGCCACTTCCTCCAGGCCCTCCACCACCAGTACCAGGCTACGGGCCACCACCAGGTCCGCCACCACCTCAGCAGGGTCCACCTCCACCTCCGGGTCCATTTCCCCCTCGTCCGCCTGGCCCTCTTGGGCCACCCCTGACTCTTGCTCCTCCTCCACATCTCCCTGGGCCACCTCCAGGTGCTCCACCACCTGCACCACATGTGAATCCAGCTTTCTTCCCCCCACCCGCCAATAGCGGCATACCTACTTCAGACAGTCGTGGCCCACCTCCGACAGATCCATATGGCCGACCTCCACCGTATGACAGAGGTGACTATGGGCCACCTGGAAGGTGAGTGCTTTTGGTGTAATGTGCTTGGTAGCAGATTTTACTCCTCTTGTAGGAAGCATTTTATTTTCCTTTTTAATGCAAGTGTTAGAAATGATGAAAAGTAGAGCTGGAAGGGATCCCAACAATCTTCTAATTTGTCCCTTTTCACTTCTCTCAGTGAAATATCTCTCAGAAACATGTTTGTAGCAGTGAGAAAATCCTGAAATGCAACATCAGTAATCTCACTCTGAACTGTTTGTCTTCACTGTTTGTATTTGGCAGTGTCATCATTCCATGTGTTCTACATGCAAACTTACATATCACTTCTCATGCAGCAGCTTCTGATTGTGCTTCTGTCTTAACTTGAAATTCTGACTTGTACCTTTATCATCGTGCTTTGCAAGCTGTCTTAGAATGCTCTGGAGTTCTCCTTTTTGAATATGTGTGTATGTTGAGTACAGTGCCACACCAAGCTCATTCCATTTTCATCTTTCAGCAGCTCTGCTTGTCCCTTTTTTTTTTCTTCAGGACTCAATTCAAAGTTAGTCTTTGTCTCAAAAGCCAGGCGTGAATTTACTGCAAGACTTACATCTTCCTTTTCTGTCAAGATGCTTCTGCTCATTTGGTGCAATCTTGTGTTTGTAGCAGTGGCTTTTCCTCTGGTTAATCCTACCTGGGACTGTTTTTGAGTCTCTCTGACTTGACTTGTCAAGCTTTTCACATCTTGTTTGAAACATCTTTTTCATCTTTGCTTTCAAGCATCTCTGTCTTGCTGCTGTTTCTTGATTTTCACCATATTTGTATTGGTCGCAGAAAATTTTGGGATTAATTGTAAGAAAGATCCTTAACATAGTTACATTTGGATTTTTCAGTTGTGATTTTACTGCTAGCATGAGACACTTCTCTTGCTTAAAACGTTTTCTGCAAAGACACTTTGTTTTGATTCTTCTTTTATCACAAATTTTAAAAAAGCCCCACGCATCTGTACATACTATGTTCATACAGAAACTATAGAAATTCAAGCATTTGGCTTAATTGCCTGAAATATAATAAAACGATAAGGTGTTGGTTGTTTTTTGATGGACAAAGTCATCAGTTGTCTGCAGTTTATAGAATGTCTGGGGAGGGAAGGAGTGGGAATAGGACAGTTTAACTTACTGTCCAGTATTTTCATTAATAATGTTAAAACTATCATCCATAACTATTTAAATTGTCATTAATTATATATCATAGGCGTTTCACTGGAAATAACATGTCCATAAGAGAAAAATTACATATTCCATTCTATGGGAGGCACACGAAAAATAATACTCAAAACTCAGGGAGGTATGAATTTTTAGACATTTCCTCTTATGCTAAACTGGCTATAGGATCTTGTTCCACTTCTTGCAATTAAGAGGATAGCATTGCTTATTGTTCTGCATTTTCTTTCTACCAGAAGAACTAACACTGTTCTAGACAAATCAAGCAGTGGGCCAGTTTAACAGTCTCAACATTTGTCTCTAACACATTTCTCCAAATTTTCTATATGATACAGAGACTGGCTAATAGGACACTGCAAAACTTTTAGGAAAATTTATGTATAGGTTAACTTCTGTTACTTTGGAAACCCTATATAGGTAGCTAATAATTAAAGTGAAAAAACGTAATGAGTACAAGGATTCTGCTTTATTGCTTCCTCCTTACTGTGACCGGTTTGGAGATCAAATTGGAGTACTTTGAACGTGACCAGAAATAAAAAAACAAAATTAGCTGTAAAATGTTGAAGTATCATTCAGAAAATTGAGTGTTTTAAAGATGATAGACTCTATTTGCTTTTCATAAGTTATAGCATTCTGGTCTTAGTTAAGATCTGGGAAACAGGATCATATAGTTCTAATTCCAGTATTGTTATAAAAATGATCTCTAATTTTGCTCAAAGTCGCATTGCCTATGTACATGCATTTCCACATCCATTCAATTGGGATAATATCTACTTACATACCTTCAAGGATTTTATGAAAATTATAAATATTTGTAAAGCACAATATTAAGTGCTGCTGAATCTTCAAAATAGATGGGATGAACAAGAATAAGTCTATTTATACAGCAATGTCTTAATTGTTTTTTTACCTTTTTTTCTTTTTTTTCTTTTTTCTTTTTTTTTTTTTTTTAGCTTTCAGGATTTTATACTGTAACATGGTCCCTAACAAAAACCAAAACCAAACCCAGATCCTGCTTTCTTTTCTGTTTGTCACTTTGCTTAAAGTTGCAAACTTGGATTGTTAAAACTGCAATGATATCTTCTTAAGTTTTTCTTAACCTTTTAAATACTAGTTTTATTGCTTGCAGAGAAATGGATGCTGCAAGGACACCTCTAAGTGAAGCGGAATTTGAAGAAATCATGAATAGAAATAGGGCGATCTCAAGCAGTGCCATTTCGAGAGCTGTATCAGATGCCAGTGCTGGTTAGTAAAACTCAGTTAATGCGTTTGCTATTCTACCCAGCTGAAAAGTTTTTAAAGTTTTTTTCTATTAGGAAACTGGCAGTCCTGAAGCCACATTTTCCTAATAGGAGGTTGAATTTAGGTACAACCTATGACTGATTTTGTACTGTGCTCCAATTAGTTTCTGAGAATTCCTTCTGAGTACTGTTCTGGACAGTATTTTAATATTTGGTTCTACAGTAAATGATCTGGATGACTGTTGAAGAGAAGATACTCAAAATGGTAATACTGTTACAGATTAAAAAAAATCTTTGTTTTAATTTGCATCATTTTCTGATCATGATCTTATGTCATTTTTCAGGGGACTATGGAAGTGCTATAGAGACCTTGGTAACTGCAATTTCCTTAATTAAACAGTCCAAAGTATCTGCAGATGATCGCTGTAAAGTACTTATTAGCTCTCTTCAGGACTGCCTTCATGGGATTGAGTCCAAGTCTTATGGTTCTGGATCCAGGTAAAACTTTCCTCTTCCATCCACCCTTACTAATAAAAGGGAAGGTGTAGTGCAGGACTAGTTCACAGAGAAGAAACTAAGTCATGTAAGAAGCTTAGTGATTTGCTGAGTTGCACAAGAAGTATGTGAAAGAACCAAATAGGAGTCTCCCCAACTTAGCTGCCTCTTAATTAACCTTCTTTTCAAAATTGATCTGACTAGCTTAAATTTAACTCTTTGTTTTATGTAGTATCCTTTCCTACGTGGTACTCTTGCAATGTGTAAACTTCAAAATAGAATTACCTCTTAACCAATTAAGACGTCCAGTGCGTAATTTTTATTAGAATTTCCTGTTGAAAAATAAGATCGATGATATTTGCTGGCAATTTTCATTTTGCTTAAAAGTAATTTTCTCCACGCTTGTCACAGTAGAAATACAAGAGTTGGGCAGAATGATTTTGCCTGTTGCCCTTTATCATACAATCTAAAAATCGAGAGTAGGTAGATTTGAAATCCATGGAGTCTTCTGCCTAGTACAAATAAGAGACTGGTATTTCTTTCAAAACTTCAGTAACGCCCCTTTCAGAGTCAGGACGAACACTGAGCTTCTAGTTCATTTGGATACTGTAGCAGTAGTGTAGTTGGCCTTGAATATTAAAAACACAAAGACAGCTGGTTTGTGCACATACTTTCAGTATGCAGATTAGCAGCCATGTTTTAGTGGTCATTTGGGATATGGTGCATTCCCCCAGCTGATTTCAGCCATATTGTCCTCCATTCTGAGCGGGTACTTTTGACTTTTTCTTGATAGGTTAGAAGGTGGATGCACCTCACTATCTGTAACTGATTTCTTAGCCACCACCTTTTATACCAGCTATCTTACATGTTATATACAAAAACATATCTGCATCACAATGAACAGATATTTCTCTCATATCCTTTTTTTGATGAAATTCATACTCTTAAACAGACTACAAAATTGGCATGCGGGTGGCTTGTATTTTCAAGAAAAATTTAATGAAGTAATTTCTTTTAGAAGACGTGAGCGATCCAGAGAGAGGGACCACAGTAGGTCACGAGAAAAAAGTAGGCGCCACAAATCACGTAGTAGAGATCGTCACGATGACTATTATCGGGAAAGAAGCCGTGAAAGAGAGAGGCACCGTGATCGCGACAGAGATCGCGACAGAGAACGAGACAGAGAGAGAGAATATCGTCATCGTTAAAGAAGGTGAGCATTTGTTTCATGTTCTTGAACTTTACTGTTACTGACTTACTAAAAGTAGCTACTCTAGGTTTGGGATTATTTACACCATTAATAGCTGCATTTAAGTGGTCCTGCAGTATGTACTGAATCACTTTCTTCTTGCAGCATCTGACATGACCATGGGTAAGTAATGACAGGTAACTGGTCTTCGGAGGGAGGGAGCATTTGTGTGATTATCTTCTGCAGTTCGCATGCTGCCTTTTTAATTTTAGGTGGTATTAATGTTTGCAGTTTTTACGAAATGCAATTAAACCAATTCTTAAAAAAGCAGTAAGCCAGACTGATAAGTCTGCTCTCTTTGTAGTCTTCAAAGATTATATTAATTTTATGGTTGTATTTCTTATTTGTATTTTAAAATACTAATTTTGTATTTTAAAATCTAATTGTGTAAGGACTGCAGCATTTAGCCCTTCATATGTCATGTGTGCATTATTTCAATTTAGGAAACACATGTACATACAGTTGCTGTCCTTGCACAAGTCCGGCAGTATTTTGGTTGGGGTTTGGTTGGTTTTGGTTTTTTTCCAGTGAGTTTTACTCAAATTCAGGAAATATAGCCAGACTTTGCTCTTTATTTTATGAAATTTGACCTGTCAGTATCTTCTGCCTTCTAGCTAAATTCAGGTATTGCATTCACTAAGATTTATGATCAGTTGTTCCCCACCACCCTGATTTTTCATTCCCTCCCCCCTATGATAGTAAAGATTTTCTGAAGACTAGTAAACAAATGTATGACACAAGGATTGTTTCTTTTTCTGGTTGTTCACAAACTAATGTGTTCTTTTATTTCACATATCTGCAGTCTTGCATGCATCAAATGTCTAGATAGCTACAGAGTAGCATGCTAAATCATGCTTTTTTCAGTGTACTGCTGAGAACTTTAAAATGCATAGAAATGTTCATCACGTTATATAATGTACCATTTTGAGGACTGGGAATTCAAGCTACACGTGATTCCTTATATTTGACAACTGGAAAAAACCCTACCTATTAGTTTCTCTGCAGTAGTCTTTTCCCTTTTTAGAAGATTTTCCCACTACATCTGCGCTAAAATTGAAGCTTGCAGACTTGCCTGTTTGCCCAACTTCTGGTTCTTACATTTACCCTCAGATTTCATTTCCAGATTTGCATGTGGTATTTATTCATGGAAGTTCATTTACAGAAGTAGAGCAAAACTTTTTAGAAATCATACAAAATGTAGTATACTCCTGAGTGAAAATACAGTTTTGTATTAGTTAAATGTCAGTTTTTCAGTCAGGCTTTTGTGTCACTGACTCCTTTGGGAAAGAACAAATTCTGATACTAAATGCTCTCGTCTGAGTGTTGGCTTGGGTATTGTCTCAGGTTCATATACTAACAGGACACACAAAGCAGTGATCTACCTAGAGAAGGGGAGTCAAAGGCTTAAAAAGGTGAAATGTGGCAGCTGAAATAAAGTTGACAGTATATATCTGTTAATGCCACTGCTTGTCATAAAAAATGAATTGGTAGAAATATTTCTGGAATTGCATAAAAATAGCAACTGTGGTTCTTAATTGTAAAATATCGGAACATAAAAATACAGATTTAACAAAAGTAAATGTAGTTTCTTTTGTTGAACTGGATTTTTACTTTTTATAATAAATGAGTATTTGTGATGTTTGCAAATAGTTGTTATTAACAGGAGGTAACCATTGAGCTGATTGTTGGATGCATTTCCAGTGTTTTCCTTCTGGTGGAGATGAGCAAGCCATACTAAAAATTGTTAATAACCTGGAATTTAAGATCATTTTATTTTACCCGTGGCAAACTTTATTAGTCTAGCTTTAATTTTTGTGTATTTGGTGTCTTGCATGTAGATACGGAGTTTCTGTGCCAAGTACAGATTCCCTACCCTGTCCCCAAGAAAACATATCAAATAGCATTACAGTGCATTTTATAATTTCCAAAGCACAATTTTAAAACGAGACTGTGGTTTCAGTCTCAGTTCAGGTGGGATTTATATATGCAACTTCCTTCAACTTTGTTGTGCTGGGACTTCTCTTTTCTTTCAGAGGGGTTGCGTAGGTAAGATTCCCTTGTGCAAAAAAGAAAATAGGTCCTAAGAACTTGATTTAAAGGGCAAATTTAGTATGCTGCATGTAAATGAAAGCATTTGGTATTTTTTTTAAAGTTAAGTTGTAAATATTTTGTCTTGTTGCTGTCTTAATGAAGAAGGGCTTTATTGTAGTTTTGGTTATTGTAGTTTTATATATTTATATACACACAGTTTTATATATTTATATACACACACCTATAAAAGAAATAGTTATCTCCTGGTTTGTGTGTTTCATTTTCACTAAGATGTATGTTGCCATACATTTTTTTGTTTCGTTCTTTACATTGATTAATATTCATAAACTGATTTAACAGTCTCAGTCATTTAATAAATATCAGCAGTGCTGAAAAGAGTTATTCCCCATATTACTGTGTTTTGCCAGATAAGATGAAGTTGGCTCAGTGCCTGGACACTATAAATGGCACCTATACTTCTTTTTATTGTGTACTTATAGTCAAAACTGTGATACTGTACTGGCATTTTTTTTTAAAGTGTTACACATCTAGTTTAGAAGGATTTTAAAGGTCCATTGTGAACATTTTTGTATACAGTGAAATTCAGTTTGTACTGTATTACATTTATAGAGATGGGTTAAATTGGAATAACTTACTAAATGTGTTTATAATAATAAAACTATTAAAAAGTTTAGATGTACATTAGTGGGTATTTACACTTCTGTTTGTGCACTTCATGATTTAAAATTAAATTCTTGCAAGACTTTTGTGCCTTCACTTGAGTAAGGCTTCATGTACATTGATAATCCATTCTACAGAATTACTATAAACTGAATGTTTCCTTGAAACATCTTGCCTTTGCTTATAGAAAGCCTATAGATGTAAAAGAGAACAATGAATTTAAGACAAATGTCTAACCTCTATTAGTCAAAAAACTTAAGAATCCAATAGAATTATATTTAGAAGCATTAACAGCAAAATTAACGTGTACAAACAGAACAGTAATGTAACTTCATCAGCATGAGTCCTGACTCTTTTTTTAGACAGATTTTTTTTTTTTTTAGTTTAACTGATACTCAATGATGTATTTCTAGCTGATACGTTGTCCCAATCTTAATCTGTCTGAATTTCTATAATTGCTGAATGTTAAATTTTTCATTTTATGTTTTTGTTACTGGGTTGATTGATTCTTTCCTATTTAAACTGGATTTGGACTGAATTGCAAAGACAAAAACACACTAACATTGTAATAGTTGATATGTATGTAGACTTTGTATTCCATATTTCATGGGTTTTTTTCTTATTTTTCTGCTCTCAAACCACTGTAAGCAAAATAATTTAAAGTCTAATGTACTTCTGAGGCTCATATGCTTCTTCAAAAACTGCTCTCAGCTCTCTGAAATAGTTTCAGCTTTGGAGTGATCTAAGAACTAACATGGTTGGAATTTTTTGGGTGTCGGTAGGAGGGGAAATGGTACTGACAGTTGAAGTAATATTCATTGTATTTTTGTTTGTATAAGTAGGAACTGTCCTGTAACAGCGTCTTAGCAGCCACTTAAACATCAACTGAAGTATGAAATTAGCCTTTTAAGAAACCTTGTAAATTAATAGGAAAATGCCTATTTTTATAAGTTATTTTAATAATAAGCTCCTAGTTAATAACGGAATTCCAAGTGAATCATGTGGTAGCATTGTTCAAGACCTGGGTATATATACCTGTCTAGGATTATTTCAGATTTTCTTAGTATTAAGCTATTACGAACATTATGTACCTAGTTTCTTTTTTTTAAAAAAATGTGTATTTTTGAGGAAGCACATATGTGGGGCTGGCACTATTCTATTGCTTCTAACTTTCATCAGAGAAATTGTGCTTTGTGTGTCTGATTCAGTATTTGAAATCCACCATAGAGTGAGAGAGGCAAGCAGTGCCACTGCTTTATGTGCTTCTTAAAGTCTGTTGTATGGCTATTCTGGTGCTTTACAGAAACATAGAGTTTATTTCTTAATGTTCAGTGATTTCTCTCATTTTCTTGAGGGTGATCAGATGATTTGAAAACCGAACTGAAAATCTTACACTATTGGTTATTTTCAAATGCATAACTGCGTAACTTTTATTATTTTTTTCCATGAACATGTTGCTGTAATTTTGTTGTCTTATGAGGTGTCTTTAGACACGCTTATATTTTTGTGTTCCCCGCATCCTGTGCTTTTTTCTTTTGTTTGTGAAATCAGTAGTTTTGACACATTTGAGCTGTGTGAAGGTTCCCCAAGAAACTTCAAGGCTTTATAGCATCTGAAACGTAAAGAGATTACTTGCAAGTGAAAATGTTGGTTTGGTGCAGTGTTCTCCAAAGAATGAACAAATTCTGTTTTTTTTCCTTTTGCTCATTGTGGTTTGAGAACTAAGATTTCTTTAAAAAAAAAAAAGAGATAAAAGAGAGATCTCCATTTTCATGTTTTCCTGTGGCAGCCTGATCTACCTTTTTGTGTCTTCCTCATACATTATTGTGAAAGATACTTGCCAATAATTCACATCTTTTTAATTTGCAAACTAAAGATTGAGTTTTCTGAACACATCTCTCTGTTCATCAGTTGTTTTTGGTGAATAGACAGGCTGGGATAGTAGGAGAAAGACATATGATGAATGAAACTAGTTTGGAAGCGTTCTTTTCCTTCCCATGTAAAATTATTTATAAAATCAGGAAGTTGTTCTGGTGTTGATCTTAAATTATACACTACAATTGAAAAAAGATACCAGGTAAGTACACTAATAATGGGGGGGGGGTGGAATGCCACAAATGGAAGAAGATGCTAGTGGTGGTAAAATAGTCTGTACGTGTATGGTGAAGAGAATCACATATGTATTTCAGCTTACACACAGAAACACAAATACAGAGTTAAGTTTGAAATTCCTTCTTTCTCACTGTGTTATTGCTAAAGCATCACAGTATTTGGAGGTTTCTGATGTTCTGGAATGTAGGTTAAATCAAATCAAATTTTGGCTTTCAAGCTGATACTTTCTGTGGGATTTTTGCTTTGTGTATTTTTTTTCTTTATGTATAGAATAAAATAAAGGAGAATTACATGAAGTAATTCTTAGGAGCTCTTAGGATATAATGACAAATGTGTATCATGCATTTTACTGAAATGTGATCATGTTGGGAGATTGAAATTCAATCTCAGAAAAATATCAGAAATTACTACACTGCTGGAACTAAACTTGAATGGTGTATGCACATACAGCTTTAAACTACTGTAGAACTTTCATACTTCTAAAAGCTGTTTAAAGCTTTTATATGCTTTTTTGATAATTAAAGGGAAAAAAACCTAGAGTTGCTACTGCAAGATGCTTTATATATATATAAGAAATCTATTGGATTTTGTTGTAAGAATATGTGGAGAAAAAATGCTTAAGTTGCATCTTGCTTAAATACAGAAATGTTTGATCACTTAAGTTCTGGGATTTCATTTGTGAAATGTTCTAGCATAAAATCCTAACTTCTAAGCTACAAAATATTTAACAGATAAGTCTGAAATTTGGGGTTTATTAGTAGAAATACTGAAAACCTGCTTGCTGTATGGTGTTAAATTGTACAAACCTAACACATGCTTGAGACGGCTAGCTTATATGAGCTTGAGGCAGATGGAAAACAACATTGCTGAGAAGTACTGACTAGAGATTTAATTTTTTTTTTCTTTTTACTTTAAAGTTGTTTCTTACTTCAATATTCTACTTGCTTGTAGAATACTGAAAAGGGCTGAGCATGAAGGTATAATCCATACGGATTTATTTCTTCCTTTTGAAACCAAAGGTCTTCCGGTTTTGCCAAGATAGTGGCAGAATATTTGGAACCGAAACGTGCACCACTTTGAATTTTAGTTGGTCATGGTTTTTCAAGTGAAGGTTCAGTGTGGTGCTGACCATCTTAAGAGCCCTATAATGAATAGTATTAATCCTAAACCCAGTTTATCATGCATTCTTTAAAGTTCCTGTAGTTCCATAAGTAGCCCTACAAATCTAGCAAATTACTCCCAGGAACTGAAGCTTTCTTATGCTAGTATTATAAATCATATATATGGTGCTTTGGATCTGTTAACTGTCGCCATAGAAGTGATAAAGATCCATAATTCTTGCCGCAGCAATTGTATGATGAGAGCAGCAAATTCTGACATGCAGTCTCACAGCTGTCATATACTTTCTCCACTAAAAACCTGAGATTCTCCTGTCTGTTTGTGCTAACTTAGCTCGCAACTCTGAATGCATCTTCTTGTGGAGGCAGCACTTGGTCACTGTGCTACTAATTGATTTTAAAAGTCCGTAACACCTATGGAAATTTTGGTCTCCAGGGAAGGAACTTCCCCAAAAGTAGTTACTGGTAGATACTTTCATGACTTGGGAACAAAGTCTGCAAATAAGAAAAAAAATTCCAGTCACTGCTTTGGATTTGAATTAGTTTATGTGCATACTGTAGTGTATAGAGCCTACTTGGTTATATGTTTTTTAAAAGTTATTAACAGTCACTTTGAGGAAAGGAAGCAGAAATGTGTCAACTGTTTGTGCCAAAATTGAGTACTTTGTTTTCCCAACTGCTTTGAAATTACTATACTAGCAGAAGAATATTTGACAGCTGTGTACTGGTGCACGTTCATGAAATTGCTCCTCTAAATGTCTTGTTTTTCAAATGAACAATTTAATGTGTTGGTTTTTTGAACAATTTTATTTAAATTATTTTGAAATTATTGAATGTTGAAATTGTGAATTATTAATGAAATGAAGACAGCTAATTGTTTTGTAATGGAATTCAACTGAAATCCAGTGTATGGAATTATACCATCCCAAGTATTTTGTGAACTCTTACAGTAATTAACTCTGAATGGTGTGGGGTGTGGTTCTTTATTTGCCAAAATAGAGGAGAGTAGGAAATAGGGTATGGGTTGGTTGGTTTTGTTTTTTTTTTTCTCTAGGACAAGTAGGTGAGGAAACCTGCAACTTTCTATTGTATTATTTAAAAAGTGGGTTCTTGTGATTAAACTGCAAGCGTGTATTTTTAGATGTGTGAAGCCTATCCTGCTTGCTGCTAGTCTGAAAATTTTGACGTACTGGTATCGGATTCTGTGCACTTTTAAATGTTACTGAGCTGTGAGCCATCCATCTCGTTATACAATCAGTGCATTACTTAAATGTCAAACCAGCTTAAAACTTCTGTAAGGGGGCAGGTAAAAATGTAAAAATCTAGTTGTGGCAAAATTACTTTACGTGCTTGTTCATTTACTCTTGCAGAATGCATACTTTAGGAAATGTTCTATATAAATGTTTCTATCAGTCACAGGAACAGTAGCTATTTCTTCCTTTATCATTTGATACTTCAACTGTGAAATTGGTATTCTTTTCAACTTTGTTGTACAACAACATTAGTTTAATTTTTAACTATTGTATTAGAGAACAACTTCGTGCACAAACAAGTAGCTACTGCTTCTGGGTATTTTGTGTTAGTTTACATTATGGTGAAGTAGATGCACGACTTGTGTATGTATAGATAAGCCAACAATTTTCTGTGTATTATGGGGACTAGCAAAATCTACATCACAAATTTTGACACATTACAGCTGAAGGAAGAGGAACAGCGTGCAAGACAAGATACATTCTTCAAGGAAAGATGCTTGTCCAGCAGTTTGCTTCATGTGATTGAACTGAGCCTGTAAGGATTCATGGATAAAATGAACAGGAATAGATCTGAATAAAGCAAATCTGCATACATGGTAACCAGTAGCTCTTTTACTTTTTTATGTTGCTTAACTGTTTTATTTGAGGGAAACCTGTGTGATTTAAACCTTATAGCTTTTGCAACTTTATTACTGGTTATATACATTTGGCAATTATAATGTGCAAGCAATTGGAAAAAGTCAAGTAAATGCTTGTTTTTATAGTAGTTTGTTCATGTTAAACTGTTCATATGATAATGTCTGTACACAGCACCACTTTGATTACAGTAGATGTAGTGTTGTAATAAACTGTTTAATGGGGCTGATGTGTAAAGCTGTTCAAGTTATTTTATGTTTACACCTCAGGGAAAGTCTTGTGTTCAGCAATATTTAAAGATAATGTTACAATGAAAACATTGATGCTGTCTTTAAAAACATCGCAATAGTTCTTGCATATGCCTCAACCTAATCTTGCATTCAGTGAGTTAAACATACTAATGTTGCTCTCTCACATTCAATTTTGATCTGAAAATAGATGGTTACATAAAAACTTTAATGCTATTTTGCTTTCTAGCAGTGTTTACCTAGGTGGCTTGTGAATTTGCTCATTGATATATATAAAACTGTAAAAACTGCAGCTCTTTGTGGTCTGTTTTGAGGAGAGGTGGTCCCAGGTTTGTGATTTTTAGCACGCTGAAAATTTTCTCTCTGGTACTGCCTTGATCCTGATTGACACTACAGTTGATATAAACTGAAACTGTTCATGTGAACTTAAACTGTCCATAATGAGGGGTTCAAAGGTGAGCTTTAAAAACCAAAACAAAACCCTGCAGTTATTTACAGTTTTATAGTAATAGTGCTTGTGTGTGTTCCCCCTCCGCCCCCAAGGCTGTAGCAGTCTGTACATAGTTGTATATTAGAAATGTGCCAGAAGAAACCAGATGTTCCCATTTCTCAGACTTTATGGGTTTGGTATTTTCTTAATACTTTGGGGTTTATTCACACATGCATATAAAAGAGAAGGTACACTTGTATGTCCTTGTTCAGTGATGGACAATATTTAAATGTCTTAGCAAAAAGTGGCGCTAATTAAATCTGTCAGATGAGGTTTTGTAAATTTACCTAAAAACAAATTATTGGAGCTCACAGTGCAAGTTGACTTCAAATTGTAAGAATTTGTTTTATATTTCATTAAGTGTGAAATGCAAATGAATAGAAAGTTCATATAAGTTGCAAAAACTTAGTTGCTGGCAGCCTTGCGCAAAGGCTCACTTTTAGTCTATTGTAAATCGTTATGTAATGGATTTATTCTTGGAGTTTTCACTTATTCCAATAGCTGCACTTAATGTTTTAAGTTAAGTTTCAAGACCTCAGATGGCTTTAAGAGGCAACTCTTGGACAACTCTTGATTTCTTTCTTTCTTTTTTTTTTTTTTTTTTACCAATTTTGAGGATTTTTACAGCTGACCTAAAAATGTTACCCTGTTCAGGAAAGCACTTAAATCCATTTGGTTTTCCAGAGCATTTAAAGCATGTGCTTACATTTCATAGATTTCAAGGAATGTAAACATCTGCTTTAAGTACCTTATTTGCGTACGTGAGTGATTTTTATGCTTTACTGAGTTGGGACCAGTAGCCTGTGCAACTACGAAAGTTTTGCATAAGCTTGAAATGCTCTAATATTTTTGTCACCTACCACTCAGCCGGGTTTCCTGCAGCCAGGTTGATGCTGTTGGACTTGGCTACAGCTTCAGACTCTCCCCTCCTTTTTTTTTTTTTTTTTTTAATCTTAAAATGTGTACCTCAGTTCCTCATGCATGGGATCACTGGTATTTATTGAACTATTTGCTACTGAGAAGATATTTGACATGTTTGTTTAATCCTGTTTGAAAATGAAAACTGCCTTTTAAAATTTTGTAAAACTGAAAGTTGTATCGAACAAGTCATGACTCATTTTCTGCTTTTTGTGAATAGGTGTTGGTTATAAACAGTACTGTTGTAATTTTTTTTTTCTTTACTTAAAAACGTTGTTTACTGCTGTGTGTAATAAGTTTAAGGAAGAAATAACCTGCCTGTAGCTGTTACATGGGGAATAGCTAATACTGGAGAGGCAGCAGGTAAGTAATGTTCCATTGCATAGATATATTAAATCTTAAAATAAAAAATTAAATTTACAAGCATTTTATGCAGGAACTGATATTTTACTCCACATTGAAATAGACTTAAAGGAGACTGTTGCTCTTTTTACACAGAGTGTAATTTCTCACTCGCATACAGATTTCCATTGCTGGCAATGGAAATAGCAGGGAGGGAGTAGGAGGGGGAAAATAACGTAAGTTAAACTAAGCGATCATTGTGACTTGAGAGATGAGGTCCCTGTGTGGAGCCCCTTATTTCTGCCTGTTTTTCAGATACTTAGTTTTAACTGATAGATGTACTGTGTTGCAATTTAGATAATACTCTCCTGTTGTTGTGAGTTTCATTTGTTAGATTATTTTTTTTAATGAAACAAAAAATGTACAGAAAAAAATCCAAAGACCCTGATAGACACCAAAAAAGGAATATGTCTAATGCACATCATGTATATCTGGATCTGTAGTAGAATTTTACCAGGTTTTGGTTTATTAAACGTTACTGGCAATTTCCTGTGCATGCTCAGGAAATAGCAGTTTGGTAATTTACTGACTGCTGCTGATGCTGTGACGGCTACTGCTGTGCTTTTTGATATTCATCCAGTTGTATTTCATCTCTTTTTGCTTGATGAAAGGACAAAATGGTCTATGAGGAAATACTTTATTTCTTTCAAGTATTGATTTTATAAGTAACGTTGAAAATAATTTCTTAAGGCTTTGTCCTTTATCTTGAAAGACAAAACCAACAAGTAGTGACTGAGGGTTGGAGTGGCAGTGCTTTAGCAACCGAAGTTGTTTTACTAGAGGTTTGTTTTTTAGAAGTAGAGGGGTTTTTTAAGTGACATTTCTACTGGACTGTATGTTTTGACAGGTCAAAAATACTTCAAAAGAAGAACATAGCATTTTGGAAACTGTACAGTCTTGTTTTCCTCATTCCTTTTTTGCTTTCTGTGCCAATAATTTGAGTTCTGATTGCATTTTGAAAAACGTTTGTCAGAACTTCTTCAAAGTTTTATTACGATGTGACTTATAAGCTTGGATAGCTGTTGTTTTTGTGTTAAACAAGATATCTTATTAAATTTAGGCATTAGCTTGATTTTTTTTTTGTTTTAAAGGAGTGAGTGTTTTCTATTTTTGTTCCTCTTGAAATTGGTGAGGCTTAGTTTTTCTAACTATTTTTTTACCTGATTCTTTAGTTGCATACCCAAACCCTTGTAAATGTTTTCCTAGTTGTATGTGGATAATTGGAGATTGAAATGTTGTATATACTTGTCATCTGTGTTTCTAGTAAAAATATATGGCATTCTTTATAGAAATACTTAATTCCTGATTTCCTTTTCTTATCCACTTGCTCTCTGTGTACAGGTTAAGCAGACTTTGCTCCTATTTTTATTTATAGAATTTTATACGTAGCCTCTTAAAGTTATCATTGGTTCTTGTGTAAACTGAGATACAGCCTTAAATTTCTTAAGATGATCCTCATTTGAGATACTGTTGGTCATGCAGATTCAAATATAAAATGTGCATGTTTAAGACTGATCGTCTTCAGAGATCCAAGACACTAAATTGCTTCTGCATTGAAATATAAACGCTTCAAGATCTTAGAGAAGGAAGGTGCAGGTTGGTGTGCAAATACTTAAAGAAGGTTGAATTATTGCCAAAAGTATCTAGATGTAGGAAAGAAGCAACATGGAATTGTTTAGGATTTAAATTATTTTGGTAATTGATTGTTGAAGTCTTAAACATAATGATTGCAGCATGCTAATTAGTCATGATGTTCATGCACAAATATTGTCTCTTGCAACTGTTTACTATGCTGCCTTGCAATTAATATTGCGGGTGGGTGGCGGCGTTGAGGTGGTTTTTTTGGTTTTGTTGTTGTTCCCTTCCCCACCCCCAACATTAAAATCTGACATGCTGTGTACTTTTCGATTAATTTTAGCTTTAGAGAATGTAGTTTTGAGCATATAAGTTCCTCAATTTGATGTTCTCATGGGATTTTTTTTTTTTTGCCCATGTTGGACAAAATATGCTAAAGCATCTCATTCTGTTTGTATGTTATGGGGCTTTGGCAACCTGGTCTAGTGGAGGGTGTCTCTGCCCGTGGCGGCGGGGTTGGAACTAGATGATCTTTGAGGTCCCTTCCAACCCAAACCATTCTGTGATTCTACACTTGTTAGTTCTTGAATCTTTTCTATAGCCTCAGTTATTGCAGCGGGTTTTAGGTTCTGGTATAACCTATGTCTGTGCTTAAATCTTTTAAAGTTTCTTTGGAAATACACTAGTTTTATTGAACTCTCTTGAAAATAGTGAACAGTATACCTTTGATCCCAATGAAATGGAGCATTTAAGTTGTAAAAATTCCCATATATTCATACCATGTAATGTGATTTGACATGATTCAGTGCTAACGCTTTGGAGTATAGTCAAGTAATAGACTTTGGCCTCTCCCTCTTGTATACTGTATTTTGTAATAGAAAATATTTTAAACTGTGCATATTATTATTACATTATGAAACAGACATTCCCTTGATCTTCAAATGTAAGAAAATGAGGAATGTGTGTGCTTTTATAAATACAAGTGATTGCAAATTCAGTTTCCTTAGTACTGCAGGTGTCCTTTTTTAAAATAAGAAAAAGGAAAAAAAAAAACAACCACCAAGTGTTTTAAAGGTGAAATACATTCCTTAACATTTTTATGACGATTACCAGCACTGCTGACTTTCTAAACAAAAGGCTGTATTGTCTTCCTGTACCATTCCATTTCCTGATTCCCATTTTGCATAAGGATGTATGAGTAAACTATTCAAGAAATGGTTTTGAAATACAGCAGGAGGGCTTGTCTAAGTCGGAATGCAGGATTGCAAAGCAAAATGTAAGGAAATGGTCGCCTGTCAGAATGCCTGACTCCAAAGGATTTTTTATATATATATATAAGTAAACAGTTTCCTGATACTGGCAGGCCAAAGAGTCTGTTGAATACTTGAGTTTCTGGAGACCTATATTTCTCAACAAGGTAAGATGGTATCCCAGCAAATGCAGATTTTAATACATTTTCAGCAGAGGTACTTAGTTAAGTTTAGGGATCGTTTCATCTTTTCTAGATGTTATACTTGAAATATTGCATAACTTTTAGCTTTCATGGGTTTCTTTTTTTCAGCCTTTAGGAGACTGTTAAGCAATTTGCTGTC